TCATGTGAGTCGTATAATAAAATACATATTTGGTCAAAAAAAGCTCAACAAAAGAATGAAAATTGTTTACCTACCGGTTATGTGTCTGAATTACTCGAGAAAGTGCATTTAGATCTCACACAGAATGATTTAAAAGAGTTAGCTGCTATCTGTGGTCGATTAAGTAAAGAAAAAAAAAGCTTTTACAAAAAGTATGGACAGATTACATCCTTCATTTCAATAGTGATCGATGAACAGCTGGTTAAAGCAGCTATACAGTTTTGGGATCCATCCTATAGATGCTTCACTTTTAATCAGAAAGATTTAGTGCCAACTATCGAGGAGTATTCGATTTTACTCGGGATAGGACTACAATGTCCAGATAAAGTATTTACCTGAAAGCTAAAATCAGGTTTTCATAAAAAGTTAGCCAAGCTTATGGGGGTTAAAGTAGAAACCATTGGTTCTTTCACAAAGACTAAAGGTGAACATCTCGGTATTCGTTGAGATTTTCTTCAAAACTTCATTTAAGAGTATTTAAATGATGATCAAGGTATGGCTGTGTTTGCTCTAGTATTGTATGGCATGATAATCTTTTCGAAGACTTTGGGTTACATTGAGATAACTGTGGTAGACTTTTTTGAGTAAATTAAAATCCAAGCAATTAATCTCGCTCTAACAGTCCTAGTCAAAACCATCAGATCATTGAATTTTTGTCGGTGAAATGGAAAAGGACAATTCATAAGATGTACATCTCTATTATATGTATGGGTTAAAAGTCATTTCAAGTGTGGGAAGAGTGCATTTTCGAAACCATATCTTCAAAATAAGGCACCAATCGAAAAGTTTTACAAAAGTCAATGGCCAACATTAAAGACTAAAGAAAAATGGGTCCTTTTCTTGCAAAGACTTACTGGGGATGAAATCGAATGGATGGCACCTTGGATGCCTCGTGTGCCCTTGTTGTATCATGGAGAAAATGAGCCATGGATGCCGTGATTAGGGCTATGAGGCGTTATAAGTTATGCTCCATTAATGGTGCTTAAACAATTTAGTGCAAAGTAGTTTGTTCCTGCTACTCATGGCCTGGTCCAAGTAGAATTCATTTATGAGGAACCGAATCCATCGAGAACCTCAGAGCAATTGATCCAAGCATGGAAGAGAACACGAAGAATGAGGTTAGGGCCTCTCATTGATAAAGTCACTTCTGATTATCAGATTTAAAAAATAAGATAACCTAGAGATATAGTACTCCCTTCTGATGACAACTCATATCAATTGATTAGTCTTTCGAAATAGGTGTAATTATTAGAAGTTGAGCTTATCAAGAAAGAATTAGAAGTTGAAAAAAAAAAATAAGAAGAGAAAATTTGAGACTTCGTGAGAAAGTAAGATAATTGAAATATGAAACAGAAATACAATGGAACAGATTAGAAAAAGTCATAAAAGAACGGGATCTAGCTAATAGTGATTTAAAAGATCTACATTAGAAAAATAAGAGGTTATGAGTTCAATTCAAAACTAGAAAAGTCACCAAGTCTTACTTTAGTCGATAATGTGAAATGGATGAGCTCCGAGAAGGGATGAATCAATGAAAGAGCAAAGTTTAAGAAAAGTAAGAGGAGACTACCAAAATTTTTCAAGAATATCATAATTGAAAGGGATTATACTCTACAACCTCAGAAAGATTGGTGGAATGCCAAAACAAAAAGGAAATGTTGAAAGTCATGCTCACAAAAGAGAGAAGAAAGCACTTCGAAGTACTGAATGAAAAAGAATCACTTCACCAGGTGATCCAAGGGTTAGAGATACAACTACAAGACCACAAGAGTCATATTTCAGCAATGATAGATGAGTGGCATAGAAGGGAAAAAGATTGGATCTTCACATGTGATTTAGAAAGGGATGCTCATATGAGATGAAAAAAAGAAAGTTTAAAAAGGTAACAGTACATAGAGCACTTGACTAATCAAGTTTACAAGGCAATAAAGAAAGCAGGAGAGATGATTGAAAAGGTAAAAACATTAAGAAGAGAAGTAAATTTCATAGAGGAATATGGACAGCGCCTAGTGAACTTTCTAGATGAGGTGAAAGACCATTATGAGCAAGTCAAATGCTTCTATGGATATAACTCTAGGATGGTAAATCCTATGTAATAAAAGTTATATAGGATCAATAAAAATTTCTAATGTTGAAATTCATCCAAAAGCAAATATTTTTCACTTGCATTCATGCATCATGTATATCATTTTTCATAAAATAAGTAAAAAATAAAATTTTAACACATAACATTCTAATTTTTTTTTCTTTCTTCTTTTTCAAAATAAAAACTTTGTGGTAATAAAGGTTCAAAAATAGCTCGCCCATAAAAAATTTTGACCCAACCTACTCATCATTCATACAATACCAGGGCTTAGACAAGAATCATGGAGTAAGAATAGGCCAGTCGATTTGAGAGAATTGAAAAGGCTCAATAAGAACTAAGAGGGGATCTCAGTACAATAATGGATATGCTCAATAAACTTGACAAGAGAAAAGCAGAGGAAGAAAATCTTAGCTTTCAAGAGTAATCGCTAGATATGGTAGATCCTGTTTACCCTCCAGGGTTTGAGCCACAACTGACCCAACCTTCACAAGAAATTTATTTTTATATTATTTTATTTTTTTAAAATTTATTTTAAAAATTAACAAAATTATAAACAAATTTAACCACATATTTCATCATTTAATCTAACAAATATAAATATTTTAATATGCATAAATATTAATAAAATAATATATAAAAAATAAGAAAAATTAAAAAAAAATTTTTTTTTACTTGAACCGGATCGATCAATAAACGGTTCCGTTCTACGGTTTGGTCCAACGGTTCGGCTCGGTTTGGGCATGGTCTGGGTGGCTCAACGGTTCAGTACCGGTTCGATTCGATCTGGGCGGTTCAGTTCTGGTCTAGTCGATTGGTCAGAGGCTGATGGAGAAACGAGTCATCGGGTCGGGTGCGCGGACCCCGGGTCAACGCGCGGATCCTCCTTGGCCTAAACGACGTCGTTTTGGGCGTTTATCGAAACGACGTCGTTTTGGTTTTCACCGTTTATATAAAAGGTTCAAAAAAAAATTTTTCGGTCATTTTTCCTTTCTTCTCCAAAAAAAATGACTGTTTTTTTTTCTCTCATTTCTTCTTCAGCCGAATGCCTTGTCGGCCCGCTGCCGTCGTTGTCGTTCGTCGGTTATTCGTCGGTCACCGGTCATCGTCACCAGTGGTCAAAAAATTCTTTAAAAAATATCAAAATGTTCATCTCGGCCTCCTAAGTTCAGATCCGATGTCTTTTTCACAAAAAGAGTCCCCACTTTCCTAGATCTGTTTTCAAAGTTTCAGTGAGAATTTTTTTTTATGAAACTGACCCTTTTTTTTTCTTCGTGCAGGAAGCTCAGTGCTGGGTTTCTCCTTACGGGAAGGACTGTTTGATTTTTTTTATTTTTTTATTTTTGGCCCTTTGGCAGCATTTTTTTCCTTCTATTTCTCTTTGTCTTTTGGCTTCGCTAGGAGCTCTATTTATAGAGCTCCAACCATGCATGTTTGGGGGAAGGGCATGGGGCTCGACATGGGGTGTAAGCACAAGCCTCATGCCTCTTTTTTTTTTTTTTGGTCATATTTGGCAATGGTAAGGTTAGGTGATGGGGGGTAAGACATGATGAGGTATGGTGGCAATAGTGCTGAGGATGGCACCACTGCCATCCTCGATTTTTTTTCTGTTTTTTATTTTTTTTTTTATTTTATTTTATATTTTGTATTATTCTCGATATTTTTTTTGTATTTTGTATTTTGTAATATTATTTCATATTTTGTATTTCTGGACAAATTGATATCCACATCAAGTACCAAAAAATTTAATCATATAATGTAATTATTTTTGACAAAATAATGAAATTTGCCGACGTAGCCTTTATAGAAGGCTTAATGAATAGCCAAGCTTGTCTTAAATAAAAGCTTCCCCATTTTAATGGTATTATTATTATGTGTTTGTTTCATAATAACTTATGATATAATTCTCAAGTGTATAAAAAATATGATTATATTTTTGTTGTATTTTTAGCTATTTATATCATATATTTTTTAATATGTTTTAATTTTTCACTCGAATTATATTAATAATTTAGTTTTTTTGATATTAATTTAATTTTTTATGTGGTGAATCATGATTATTAATCTAATTATTAATTAGTGAACACGGGAAAATATTTTCAGGCCGGGCTTTTTTTCAGTTTTAATAGTTTCTATCACGAATTAGGAATAATCTGATTTACTAATGGGAAATTTTTTTGAATTAGTTATGAATTTCGTTTATTGACGATAAAGAGGATGAAACAATAGTTCCATAAACAAGAAAGACCTACGAAAGGTGTTTTAATAAAAAAATATTTATTATTTGATATTATAATAAAAAATAATTAATTGGAAAGAAATATTTATATTCAAATTAATAAAAAATTAAATTTATTTTTATAATATTAATATCCAAAAATGTAATTATTTTTTTTTTGGATGTACGTATTTTATAAAATAATTATACATACATATTAACTAAATATACATATATTATAATTTTGAATAAAGATCATTGAACATTACGATTATAAAAATAATTTTCAATTTTATTTATTAATATATTATTTTATTTTCACTAATTATTTTTAATATGGTACGAATTAATAAATATTTGTGTTACTTTTCAGAAATTTCCCCAAATAAAGGGACTGATATTTGGGCTGTCTTCCATTGCTTAGATAAGAAAGGAAGAATAAAACAAAGAAGATCCCGACAAGAAAAGAAGTGATGGGCAATGACTTTCGTCGGTCACATGGCTATTGTCGGACACTACGAAATTTAATAATGAAATAACAATATTAAAAGAAAAAGAAGAAGACTTGGCATGAAAATAAGTCTTCCTTTTCTCTACATTTTACGTACTAATCTTGAAACAAATCCTTTGCCCATAAAGCCTTCAAAAGAAAACAAAAAAAAAAAAAGGCAAAAACCCATTTCTGCTATCAGAAGCTGAGTGATCTGTTAATCTCTTTTGTTCGAATTTTTCAGATAGATAAGTGAACGTTCCTTTTTCAATTTCCAAGCTTTTGGATCATTTCAGTGCGAGCTTGATTTCTTTTTTCTTTTGGCCTAAGAGTTTTAAGGTTGATTTCTACTCTGTTGGCTTTTCCTTCAACTCAAAAAGAGAAAAAAAAAAAAAATTCAGTTGAGTTTTGTTTGATTATACCTTTCTGTCCTTGTAACTTCAAAAAAAAAAAAAAAAGAGCTACAGTTCAATATTTTCTTGCTCTTTAGTTTCCACTTTGTTTGTCATTTTCATCTAAAAAAACAAAAAAAAAAAAAAATAGAGAAAAAAAATCCAATCTTCAAATTTCTTTTCTTTGTTTTCAATGATCCGTCATGAATAAATCCTTTCAGATCTAGAAGGCACCAAGTAAGGTAAATGCAACAACTTCTTTATCGCTTTCTCTTTGTACAAATAAGGTTTGTTTCTTACGTATTTTTTATCTAATTTGCAATTTTTTCAGTGAAGCAGATCGGATCTGAAAAGGTTTGGATTTATTTCTCAAGCAAATTTTCTCTTGAAAGCTTCGGATATATTACTTCTATCTGGAAGTGGTAAGGCTGGAATATTCATTTAAACTTTTTTTGTCAATATTTAAAAAAATTTGGTTGTAGTGGAGGAGAAAGGCAGATGCAGGTAGCCGTTTTGGGTTCTACAGTCTTGATCTTGGGGTTTTGGAGCTTCTCTAGTTGTTACGGGGTAGAGCCGGATGAGAGGAAAGAGGAAACCGTGCCGTTGGTGGTGATAAGTGGTTGAGGGTGGCGTATCTAGTTTTTAAGGTCTTGGGTTTGGTTTTAAATTTAGGATTTTCTAGGAGGTTTTAGGGAAATATGATCTGATATAAGCAAAGGGAGGATCAAGGAGACGACTTGAGTGATTTTTAAGAAAAACGGTGCCGGCGAGCGGCGTACGATAATAGCAGATGATGGTCCGACATCGGAGTTTAAAAAACTATGGGGTGCTTTTAAATGAAGTAGGGTCGTCCAGAGAAGTTGGAAAATTAAACAAATTGATTTTTTTTTTTTTTGATAAGGAGCTATTTTTTTTTAAATAAATAATTTCACTCAGGCATAACCATGGGGCAATTGAGCTTAGGTCATGTGGGAATATAAGTGTAGCTGTGACAGGGACCCTACCATTTCTTTATACTTCAATCTTATAACTATTCAATTACAATAAAAAATGAATATTATCTATTTTTTTTTATTACAATCCTAATTGTTATAAAAAAAATGTATGTAAAAGTCTATCATTTATAAGTATAGATTCTACATTTTGTGAACCCTACAAAAATATTGAATTTTAATTGGTTAATTGTTCTACAATAATTATAGGTAATAACTTCTGAATAAAAATTATGTAGGTAGGATCCACTTATGAAATAAAATTTTGATGCATCTCACACTATTATATATTATGATTGATTAATTGTGTACTATAATTATTATAGATAATATGATTATAAATGATATATTCTTGCAGTAATAGCATCCAACGGTTCTATTATCAAAGAAACAAATCTTTATAATGTTGGTGACTAAATCATTACTTTTCATAGTTTGGTGTCCAAAATAAAAAATCAACTAAAATTAGATGACCAAACCTGTAATTATTCATTTTTAAAATTGTTGCTTAATTGTTGTAGTATGATATGATTTTTGGTTTTCTATCATAGCAATACTAACTTTTTTATTTCCTATTTTCTGAGTAATATTTCCTTGTAAATTATGTAAAATACTTTTTTATCTCGTGTTTTTAGGTTGGCAGAGTGCTGAAGAAACGGCATTTGGTTCTGATACTTTGATTTGTGTTCACCTTGCTTTGCTACGTACTTAGAAAGGGTTGCTTGGCAGAAAACTGAAGAAAAAGCAGTTGCTTTTCGCACTTTGGACTATCTTCACCTTACTTGGTATGTTTAGAGAGTTCGCCTTCATTATTCTTTAATTTTATGTTTGTTATCATCACCATGATTTATCTCATAGCTAATATTTTTTCGCTTGGCAGAAGTTTCTTCAACTTGAGCTTGTCAAGAATGGATTGTGGGTTTTGCGAGTCAGCTCTTTCTGACTGTGTGGGAAAACTGCTCGTGGATTGGGTGGCGAAGCCAGTAGGACGTCAATTTAATTACATTTGTTGTTTCCGCAACAATGTTGAAATGCTCAAGGAAAGAAAAGACGAACTGATAAGCGCTCGAGCTCGGCTGCAACATGAGATTGAGGATGCTGACAGGCGACTTCTAGCAATTGAAGATCCTGTTGGAGGCTTGGTATCAAAGGTGGACGAAATCCTATCAAATATGGAAACATTGGAAAATGAAATAAAACAAAATAAGAGATTTTTCAATTGGTGTCCTGATTGGATTTGGCGGTATCGCTTAAGTAAGAAAGTAACGAGGAACACTCTTGTTATTTGTGAGCTTCTAAAGAAGACCACCAAATTTGGTCAACCTGGACGAGTGGGCTACCGTTCACCTGGTACAATTTCCACAATAGAATTCCACTTATCCAAGGATTTTATGGCCTCTAAATCTTCAGAAACAGCTTCCAAGCAGATCATTGAGGCCCTACAAGATGACAATGTCAGCATGATTGGATTGTGGGGGATGGGAGGGGTGGGCAAGACAACCCTAGTGCATGAAGTTGGAACTTATGCCAAAAGACAAAATCTGTTTGACAAAGTTGCGATTGCTACTGTGTCTCAAAAGCCAAACTTTGAAACAATTCAAGATGCAATTGCAAAAGACTTGGATTTCGATATGAAGAATGACCAAGGAAGAATATCAATCCAAGAATTCTGGTTGAAACTGCGGAAGGAGAAAAGGATTCTAATAATCCTTGATGATGTTTGGGCAAAAATTGACTTAAAGAAGGACATAGGAATTCCATTTTCTGAGGATCATGAAGGAAGCAAAATTCTTTTAACAACACGCCGTCTTCCAATATGTGTTGCTATGGACTGTCAAAAGACAATATCACTTGGTTGTTTAGATGACCATGAAGCTTGGAATTTATTTAAGGCGAAAGCAGGTCTAGATAACTCTTCTGATGAAGCTTTTAAACATGTGGCATCTCAAGTTATCAAAAAGTGTGATGGTTTGCCCATAGCTATAGTCACATTGGGAAGTGCTCTAAAAGGTAAAAATCATCATAGGTGGGAAGCAGCATATTGGAGACTCGAAAACCGTAGATTGGTTGACATAGAGGACATGGATCAAAAAAATGCTTACCTAGTTCTTGAGGTAAGTTTTGATTATTTGAATGATACGGAGACCAAGATGTGTTTCTTGTTGTGCTCTTTATTTCCTGAAGATTATGAGATTAATGTAGAGGAGCTGGTGAGATATGCATGGGGATTAGAGTTGTGTAGAGGTATGGGCTCAATTGAAGCAGTGAGGAGAGTAGTGCTTGCGGCAATGGGCAGCCTCAAGGATTCTTGTTTGTTGTTAAATTGTGGAGAAAGGCATGTTAAAATGCATGACATGGTTCGTGACGTTGCTTTGTGGATAGCATCACGCAGAAAGGAGTTTTCTTTTATGATAAAATCTGAGGTTGTTGAAATGTGGCCAAAGGATGAAAGTTTTGAGCCTTACGAAGCAGTCTCCTTCAAGACTAGTCGGATTGTTGAACTTCCTAAAGGACTGGTATGCCCAAATCTCAAAATTCTTTTACTTGGTGGAGATGGGAACATGATAACTTCAATTGAATTCTTTGAAGGAATGAAAGCATTAAGAGCTTGCACTTTGAATTCTAGATTGATATCTCCAGATGCATTTCAGTTTCAAACAAACCTCAGAACTCTACATTTGGAAAGTTGCAAACTCTTGGACATCTCAGTGCTTGGGAAGTTGAAGAAACTTGAGGTTCTTTCATTTAGTTGGTCTGATATCAAAGAATTACAAGAAGATATAGGTGATTTGGATAATCTTAAATTGTTGGATTTATCATATTGTGAACAACTACAGAGAATCCCTCCTCAGTTAATGCGAAGATTGTCCCAATTAGAAGAATTATACTTGCATGGTTGTCCATTATTAGAATGGGCCACTGAGAACACAGTTCAAGAAGATAGCTTTGCCAGTCTATCAGAGTTGAATTCCTTGTCAAACTTGATTATATTATCTTTAGAGGTTTGTTCTGAAGATATTCCAAGAGACTTTGTGTTCTGTAAATTACAAAGGTTTTATGTATGTGTTGGCTTTGGCTTTTCTGATTTTCATCAAAGGAAGATGGACTCGGAGATCTGCCCATTCTCGAGATCTTTAAATATTGAGTGGTCTGTAATAGAGGCATGCAAGCAGTTATTTGGGGATACAGAATCTCTTAATCTGAAAAATGTGGTGGGTTGCCAAAATCTTGTTCCAAGCTTGGAGTGGGGCCAAGCGGTATTCGGTAAGCTGACTTATCTGGGTCTTGAGAGTTGCGAGCATATGAAATGTCTCATTGATACTAGAAAGCAGCAGGTGCTAACCAATGTATTCCCTAATTTGTTAGAATTATCTTTAACGAATATGCGTGGTTTGGAAGAGCTGTGCAGTGGTCATCAACCGCAAGGGTTTTTGCTCAAATTAAAAACTTTGATGATAGATCAATGCAGGGACATGACATGTGCAATTCCAACTCCACAAAGTCTTGAAAGGTTGGAGGTTGAATCTTGTGATGAGATGCAAGTGCTATTTCAGATTGCTGAATTGAGGAGCATACAAGAAGGACCCAGTCATCAAGTAAGCTTACAAAGTTTGAAGGTTGTAAGAATACACAACTGCAATAAATTGAGATATCTCTTCCCAACGTCCGTTGCTAAAAGTCTTGGACAACTGGAAAAACTGAAACTATCTTCATGCTTGGAATTGGAAGAAATAATTCCCAAAACGGAAGTGTCAAACATCAATCTCCAAAGTCCAAGGAAAGTACATGTAAGTGGCTGCAATAACTTGACATCTCTTTCCTCATTGTCGCATGGTCAAAGTTTAGAGAAATTGACAACACTTACGATTCGGGATTGCTCTCGATTGGAATATACTTTTCCAATCTCAATGGCTGAAGGTCTTCCACAGCTGAATAAGGTTACATTGGAAGGTTTGCCTGAATTTAAAGGAAGGGATGGAAATGACGTTCTACTCACGCTGCCATCTTTACAAGAGTTGGAAATGAGAGAGTGTATACAATTTATCATTTCGGCTGAAATACAGGTAAGCCTATTTATTTGTATTTTTTTCTTTTACTCTTGCAACTGTGCTTGGTTGGATGGAGTGGAAAAGAGTGGAAGAATAGAGAGTGAAAGAAAAAAAAATCGATCAAAATTTAATCCTTTTAAATTGGGAGAAAAACATTTTTTTATACTTAATAAAACCTTGTTTTTAATAGTTTTTCTTCTGATCCTTTTTCTTTTTTCTTTTATCTTTGGTACCAAACAATAAACAAGAAAATTAATTTTTTTTTCTATCATTTCTTTTTGCTTTCCTCACCTTTTTCCCTCCCTTTATTTTTCTTCCAACCAATTAAACATGGTGTTAATGTTGTTGACAGAATTTATTTTTTTCTTCATAAATTGGTGTTCGAAAAGTTCAAGTCCAAGAGTTACAATATTTAAAAGATAGACTTTGTATCATTTTGCATAAAATTAACGTAAACTTACTTCTTCACTACTTAAACAATGATTATTTAAAGCTCAATTGTGAAATTTTATGATAGCTTTCTTTATTTTACTTTCATTTATAAATTATGTGCAATATTATTTTACTTTCATCTACGTTATTATAAAATTCAATTTTTTTCATCTACGACTTTTTAAAATGTTTTAAGTTCATCTATTATTCCAATCATTGTTAAAAATTTAATAGAACACAACCTTTTAAAATATTTTAAATTCATCTATTATTCCAATCATTGTTAAAAATTTAATGGATGTGCATATGGCATGAATTTTAACTTAAAAAGTCAAAGAACACCATATTACCACATGATAATTCACATGGATATACATACACATGATTGGGAGATGATATAGTTTGTCAAATTTTAATAACTGTTTATGGGATTTATGATGAGATGCAAGTGCTATTTCAGATTGCTGAATTGAGGAGCATACAACAAGGACCCAGTCATCATGTAAGCTTACAAAGTTTGAAGGTTGTAAGAATACACAACTGCAATAAATTGAGATATCTCTTCCCAACGTCTGTTGCTGAAAGTCTTGGACAACTGGAAACACTGAACATATCCTCATGCTTGGAATTGGAAGAAATAATTCCCAAAACGGAAGTGTCAAACATCAATCTCCAAAGTCTAAGCGAAGTATATGTACGTGGCTGCAATAGCATGACATCTCTTTCCTCACTGTCGCATGGTCAAATTTTGGAGAAATTGACAACAATTGAGATTCGGGATTGCTCTCGATTGGAATATACTTTTCCAATCTCAATGGCTGAAGATCTTCCACAGCTGCATAAGGTTACATTGTGTGGTTTGCCTGCATTTAAAGGAAGGGATGGAAATGACATTGTACTCACACTGCCATCTTTACAAGCGTTGGAAATGAGAGAGTGTCCACAATTTATCATTTCGGCTAAAATACAGGTAAGCCTATTTATTTGTGTTTTTACTTTTTCAACTATGTTGGTAGGAGGAATAGAAAGAGTGGAAGAATAGAAAGAGAGCGAAAAAAAAGGGAAACTTAATCCATTTGAATTGAGAGAAAAAAATTCTTTTTTTCTTAAATAAACCTTTTTTTATAAATTTTCATCTAATCTTTTTTTTTCTATATTTTATCTTTGGAATCAAACACTAAGAAAGTAAAATAATTTAACTACATAGTGTTAATGTCGTTGACTGAATATTTTTTCTTGATAAATTGGTGACCAAAAAGTATCCAAGTGCTACAATATTTAAAAGATAAACTTTGTATCACTTTACATAAAACTAATGTGAATCTACTTTTTCTTACTTAAATAATGATCATTAAAATATTAACTGTGGACTTTTACTATAGCTGTTACTATTAAAATGCATCGTGCATCTATAAGCTTTGTGTAATATTATTTTACTTTCATCCACGATCTTATAAAACTCAATTTTTTCATTTGAAACTTCTCAAAATTTTTTAAATTCATCTATTACACCAATCATGGTTAAAAAAATTAATACAACATATCATTTTCAATGTCACATGAATGTGCATGTGACATGAATTTCAACTTAAAATGTTTAAAAAACTCTCACTTTTTTATCATGTGCAAGTTCACGTAGTTATACACATATACACACAAAATATTTTGAGATGATAAATTTAGTCAAAAATTAATGATTGATTGTTCAAATTGATGAATTTGAATTTAAAAACTCGAGAACGAAAATTTTGAATTTTAATTAAAATCGTGAATGAAATGAAATATGATACAAAAATCATAGATGCATGATGTAATTCACTCTAATTTTCATCGACATTTTCTTTGCTAATTGTCTTTGTCCTTATATTTGAAGTAGGTGTTGTCCATTCTAAATATGTTATTACTATTTGTTTTCAATTTTTAGGAGATTACTATAATTAGTTTCTTGAGTTGTTTAAATTGATCTCATTTAGTTATTTTTATGTTATAGGAGATTGAGTTTTTAGGAAATATCTAGCTAGGAGGTTTCATTTTAAGTTCAATTAATTATTACATACATTGCTAAATAGTCCTTTCTTCTCATAAAAAAAGCCTTAAATAAGTAATACCATGAACTAAAAAACCCTTAATATCACCATTTAGCACTATTGAATTTATAATGAGATGCAAGTGCTATTTCAGATTGCTGAATTGAGGAGCATACAACAAGGACCCAGTCATCATGTAAGCTTACAAAGTTTGAAGGTTGTAAGAATAGACAACTGCAATAAATTGAGATATCTCTTCCCAACGTCTGTTGCTAAAAGTCTTGGGCAACTGGAAACGCTGAACATATCCGACTGCTTGGAATTGGAAGAAATAATTCCCAAAACGGAAGTGACAAACATCAATCTCCAAAGTCTAAGGGAAGTACATGTAAGTGGCTGCAATAACTTGACATCTCTTTCCTCATTGTCGCATGGTCAAAGTTTGGGCAAATTAACAACACTTATGATTTGGGATTGCTCTCGATTGGAATATACTTTTCCAATCTCAATGGCTGAAGAAGGTCTTCCACAGCTGAAATACGTTACATTGGAAGGTTTGCCTGAATTAAAAGGAAGGGATGGAAATGACATTGTACTCACGCTGCCATCTTTACAAGAGTTGCGTGTCGGAGATTGTCCACAATTGACTCCTTTTATCATTACAGCTAAAACACAGGTAAGCCTATTTATCTGTGTTTACTCTTACAACTATACTTTGTAGGAGGAATATAAAGAATGGAAGAATAGATACGAGAGCGGACATAAAAAAAAATGGAAACTTAATCCATTTAAATTGGGAGAGAAAATTCTTTTTTTCTTAAATGAAACCCTTTTTTATAATTTTTTATCTTTGGAAACACTAAGTAAAATAATTTGACTAAATAGTGTGTCATTGATTGAATTCAAGTGCTACATTATTTAAAAGTTAGACTTTGTATCACTTTGGGTAAAACTAATATGAATCTACTTCTTTCTACTTAAGTAGTGGTCATTAAAATCTCAATTGTGGACTTTTAAGATAGTTGTTACTATAAAAATGCATCAGACATCCATAAACTTTTTGCAATATTATTTTACTTTCATCCATGATCTTATGAAACTCAATTTTTTCATTTACACTTTTTAAAATATTTTAAATTCATCTATTACACCAATCATTATTCAAAAATTAATAGAACAAATCCATTTTAATGTCACATGGATTTGCATATGATAAGAATTTCAACTTAAAAAGTTAAAAAAACAGAATAAATCATTTTTAATGTCACATGAACTTTTAAATTGAAAAAAGCTAGAATATTTCATTTTAGGTTCAATTAATTATTGCGTTAAATGCTAAATAGTAATTTCTCCTCATAAAAAAAGCCTTAAATAATTAACATCACAAATTTGTTATTTCTTCTCATAAAAACATATTGTTCATACTATTTAGTATTGTTTATCTACTATTTTTTAATATCAAAATTAATTTTGATTTTACTAATTACAATTGCAAGTATATAATTTTTTATGAAAATATTAATAACAAAGAAATTATAATTATATTTAAATATTTCACTTAAAAATTCAATAAATTATATATAAGATAAATTTAACATAAAATTAAATCAAATTCATAAATAATAAGATTTAAATTTAAAACATCAATTTTTTGAAAATGTATTTTACCACTAAATCAATGTTTTATTATTTAAATCAATAAAAAATAATTTAATAAGTAATTATTTAATTACATTTGTATTGATGAAATGCATTGAAAGAATGCATTTCATATCTTAATGATGAGTTTCTGTCTGATTAACCCACTTATCTCAATGCATTATTTTTCAAGTCACTCAAATGAAATATCCAAAACGATCTAAGGGATTTTCAGAGTATTTCCTATTGGATTCCAGTTTTCTAAGGATTCCCTATCCCTGACATGCATATCAGGGAGTCCAGAAATAATAGCATGGTAGCACAGAAATTTGTTATTTCTTCTCATAAAAACATAAATAATTAATACCATGAACTAAAAAACCCTTAATATCACCATTTAGCACTATTGAGAGTAGTGTGAGCTTTATTTGGTCAAAACAGAAAAACCAAGCTGAGCTAGGTGATTTGGCTCAGTTTAGTTTAATGCTAAAAACTTTCCAAAACAAATTGAATTAATAATTTAGTTTTGAGTTAAAAATTAAACCAAATAAAATAATTAATTAATATTTTTGTAAATATTTTATCGCATATAAGAAAATATATTTCTTTAATCATAATTCTTAGAACAAACTTTATTTCTTAGATATATTGAAAAGCCATATGTAGTATGTACTTTGTGTTTTTAAACGTTTCATATGGATTCATTTTTATTCATGATATAGAACTAATCTTTTCAAAACTGTTGTTTTATATTTTAATTAAATTATTTGTCTTTGACTTAAATTAATGAATTGAGAGTATTTCATTTATAATTATCTTTGTTACTATATTATAGTTAACCAATCACAATTAAGAATTATGTAGCCACCATTTAAAATGTGGCTTCTAAACAATTTTTTGATGGGCCCTACATAATATTAAATTATGAGTAGTTAATTGTACTATAATAATTATAAGAGATATGATCCTAAATTAAGAATTTTTCTAAATTTTAATTGATTAGAATAAAAAATTTAAAAAATTTAAATTTTAAACTTAATTCAAATTAGATTTATTTATATTGGTCGTTTCATTTAATCATGATTTAAATGGATCTTTAAAGCTAAATATTTAATTTAATGATAAGATAGTTAAAATCAAACTTTTATATAAAATTTAAAAATAAAGAATAAATAAGTTTTTAGTTATTTTTTACAATTTTGAATTAACAGTTAAATGATATATTTACGTATGTTAGAATTTAAGGAAATGAGAGAAAGGAAGCAATCGTGCAATCTAATAGTTCCTAAATTAGGACAAAAATTACCAAACATGAAATATTTAACCCTCATTAATTTTGAAGAGTTATTTGATGATGGATATAATTTTTCAGAGTTTGAGGCTACTGAGATTGTATGATCTACCTGAATTGCGGGTGGCATGGAAAGATCCCGTCGAAGTTGTCAACTTTCAAAACCTCACTCGATTGTGTGTCGATAGTTGCAGAAGGTTAAGATATATCTTATCACCTACCATCGCTCGGAATTTGCCACAATTGAGCTCTTTATGGATAATTGAGTGTGAGGAATTGGGGCAAATTATTGAAAAGGATGGTCAAACTTCATCACGAGGTCATCATCTCCAACCTATACGCTTCCCCAATCTGACTGAAATACACATTTATTCATGTGAAAACTTGAAATGTCTCTTTCCGGTGAGTGTTGCTCATGGCCTTCCAAAACTACAAATTCTACGTGTTGTGAACGTCTCCAAATTAGAACAAGTATTTGAACAATCAGGAGATGAGGCAAATGGTAGCGAGGAAAAAGGGAAAGTGATACAGATACCTCAATTGGGCACCTTACTTCTTGAAAAGCTACCGAACCTTGTGAGCTTCAGCTCTGTGGGTTATCATTTCGTATTCCCATCTTTGAAATTTTTAGCCATAAGAGGTTGTCCCAATATATCCACGAGCTTTAGTGTTGATTCAGAGGAATCTGGGTATGCCAAAACAGAGGTACGCTACGCTCCCTAACTCTCAATATAAAAGTATCAAAAGCTGCCCTGCCTTTTGTATAGCTGGACTTGTATAAGCTTATGAACAGAGAGGTTCATCTGTTTTACATTTTTCATGCTTTCATTTCCTCTTCAGCTTTACTGATTATGCAATATTAATCTCGTCTGTTCAAGGGAACTTGTTATGGATTTCAATTGAAATATGTCATCCAAGTGTTTGTTTTAATTCCTAATGAAATTGAAAATGCAATTGGCTGGCAATATTACTTCCCTGTTCTATTGGGTGGCAATCTTTCTTATTGGGTTCATT